CTGTGTTCTTTTTAAGCACATCTCTTCTTCGGAGAGCAGACGTTTTTAGCGTTGATGAAGCCTGATTCATCAGCTCTTTCTTTCACGGAGTGTACTTTAGAGAGTCTAAAAGTTCCACCTGGTCTCAGATCACGAAGATTTGCTTACTACTACACAGGGCTGGGTGTGTGAGCATGCAGGGAGATTTATTTTAGGGACTGAAAGAGGAAAACAATCGAGATGTCCACAGACACAGAAGTATGTACAAAATATCCACAAAGCAGGACACTATTCAGATCACAAGGGATGTGGCACTGCCAGGTACAACATGGCCGACTCGCAGCGCGCATGCCAAGACTGCGAGGCTCAGACAGCGTGGCCACGGCAGGACTAGCTGTAAACCTAGAAGAAAATAAGAATATCTTCGTGAGCTGAGGTCTTTTGTTTTTTGTTTTAGGAAGACACCAAAAAGGTTTTTGTTTGTTTGTTTGTTTGCTCTTTCAGAGCTGGGACTTCGACTGTTGTATGACTTTTTCGTGTTGGTGTGAGTCTTAGAACCAGCCTGTCTGCAAACACGCTAGTGGTGGTCTGGGTTGGGAAGTGAGCTGGACCCAGAGGAAGTTGGGAGGAAGTGAACTAACACTGACCCATTGCCTTAGTGTACATCCAACTTTGTGGGTGCCCTCTAGCCCGTGCGCTGTCCACCTCCTTTGCCTGGGATTTGGGGATTTGGCCTGGCTCCCGATACTTGCCATACTGCTCTGGTGAGCAGTCCTGTACTGATGCTATTTCATGTTTTTACCTGGAAAATCCTGGTAATTAATGGGCCAGGCCTTGCAAGACCCAGGGAAGAGTCAGGGACAAAGTCAACCTGGCCCAGCATAGCCGGGTGGAGGCTGAGGGAGGCGTGTGGCTGCCACCACCATACCTCCTCCTCCTCAGCCACACTTGGTGTTTGTGGAAAGGAGAGGAAAGGCCGGGACTCTGGTCAAAAGGGTGTTATGGGACTGGGAGGTCACGTGTGGGATGATGGGGCAGAAGTGGAGACTGCTAAAGCCGGAGGCCATGCATAGGCAGGAGGGCGCAGTGTGGGTACCAGGCATCCATCATGGTGATAGAACAAAGGCTGAGCTGGAGGGAGAAAGCCTTATCTGTGTTAGTGTCTTCATCACACAGCAATCTGTGTCGGCCATCACACTGGCCTTCCTCCTCCACCCTCAACCCATCCCCTCCTCCAGGCAGCTGTATGGCAGCTGGGGTAGAAAGCAGATGTCTTTCAGCAAAATGAGTTCAAATTCTTGCTCTGAATCAGGGTGCCGATGGGAGGAGGGAGACACATGACACACAGGGTTAGGAAAGTGGTGAGATAAAGAGCATAGTGTAAGGCCTGGGGCACAGTGAGCCCTCAGCACAGGGGGCGGGGCCTGGAGCACAGTGAGCCCTCAGCACAGGGGATGAGGCCTGGAGCACAGTGAGCCCTCAGCACAGGGGGCGGGGCCTGGAGCACAGTGAGCCCTCAGCACAGGGGGTGGGGCCTGGAGCACAGTGAGCCCTCAGCAAGGGGGCGGGGCCTGGAGCACAGTGAGCCCTCAGCACAGGGGGCGGGGCCTGGAGCACAGTGAGCCCTCAGCACAGGGGGTGTCAGCTCATTGGCCTGGGCTGGAGACAGACAGGCTTTCGTTCCCTCCACAGCAGATGGTGGTAGAAGTGTATAGTAGCATGTAGACTGACCATTCGGGATTCCTGTAGGGTGGAAGCCACAGTGGTTCCAAGGCTCACTTTCCCTTTGCCCCCACCAGGCCAACCCGTTTACCTGTGCCCAGCATCCCTGTGCTCCTCGTGTTCACGCACCCCTGCCCTGCTGATGCTCTGAGGTGAAAGAATGCCCAAAAAGAGTCGAGTGTGCACATTCTACCTCACTCCCTGCCCCACCACCAAGGGCTTTGCCAGGCCAGTGGGTGGGGCTGACCAGGCCAAAGGTCCAGCTGAGTGTGTTCACACGACTTTTGGGACAAATGACCCCCCCCCCATGCCTTGGTCCTAATTGTCGTCTGATTTCACAGCCTCTGCCCTGGCGCTGCCCACACCCAGCGAAGCACAGAGCTGTGGGGATTCAGCTGCAGGGCAGGGAGAAGTGAGGCCGAGCATGCAGTTAAAATAGCACAGCTGAGGCATTCTGCTGTGGAAGGAAGTCACCGATGAAGTCAGACCACCCTCCCAGCGGTGCTTCCCTTGCCTGGGAGCAGAGAAGGCGTGTGTGTTTATTTTGGGTCGGGCTGCAGCCCCCTCTCTCTATAGGCTGGAGGTGGATTGCAGCCTGGATTTCTGTGAAGTAAATCCTGTTTCCCACTGATTCCCCGTGCTGATGTTGACGTATGTTCCCACGCGCTGTTATCTTCTTAGCATGGGGGGGGAGGGGGAAAAGGGGGTTGCACAGTGCACTGGGGAATGGTGGCATGCTTAGCAGGGCATAAGGTTGGCCCAGGCAGGTCGACCTCTTTCTATAGGTTACTTTGTCTAGTTTTTCCACAGAAACTTTGCTTTTTTAGACACAGAATGAAAAGACCAGAATTTTTAAGAAAGAATGCTAATTCCCGAATCCTGGTGTCTGTGGGGTCTTTAGGGCCATGGCTATGATTCCATTAGCAGAAGGAGAGCAGCCTCTGTGGCCTCCTGAGAACTCAGGATGGTTGAGAAAATGAGCCCCCTTCTGTAATGTTCTAGTCCACGAGGCTTTCTCAACTGCAGGCCTGTGGACACAGGGTATGATCATTTTCCCTCCTGGAGCTATGTGTGCGGCTAGGAGGTCGGAAGCATCCCCAGGCTCCACCCACTAGGTACCAATACCACCCTAATCCTAACAGCAGTGACCCAACTGTCTCTATGTCCCACGTCTCTGGGAGACACTGTTATTCCTGCCTGAGAATCCCCGGCAGACATCTTTTATAGGACACAAAAGCTGCTAGGTGTGATGACCAATCTTGATTGTCAGTTTGATGGGGTTTAGCATCACCATGAAAATATACATGTGGGTATGTCAGTGAAGATGTTTCCAGAAAGTTTAGCTGGAAGGGAAGACTCACCCTGAATGTGGGCAGATGGCACAATCCCAAAGTCCTGAAATGCTGGACTGAATGAGAAGGAGGAAGCGAGCCAAGCGCCAGCGTTCCCTCCCGTTCTCTGCTTCAGGCTTTGCTGCCCCACCTTCCTTATGTAACAGACTGTGTGCCCTTGAACTGTGAGCCAAAATAAAACCTGCTGCTCTTCTCCCAGCAACATGAAAAGTAACTAATATCATGGATCCACACCTACACATTTTTAATTGTCCCTTTGCGAGCCAAACAATCCCCCTGCCTCAGCATCCTGAGTAACAAGTATTACAGATGTATACTGCTATGCCAGGCTCTGTTTTAAATACTTAAATTGGTGCATTACTCTGCTCCGGGCCCCTAGTTTCTCTCCTAGGTTGAGCAGATGACATAGGATAGCTGCAGGGACACTCCAAGAGCTCGCCTTGGTGAGTGTTGAGCAGGTGGCCAAGGTCTGGCCTGCCCACACTATTTCTTGCTCCCATCCTGTTGGCATCTGCACCAGGCTAGGCTTCTTCCCATCTGGGTTGTTCTCTTTCTTTAATTTCAGCTTATTTTGTCTCATAAAGAGTCCTCAAGGGGCTGGAGAGATGGCTCAGTGGTTAAGAGCACTGATTGCTCTTCCAGAGGTCCTGACTTCAATTCCCAGTAACCACATGGTGGCTCACAAACATCTGTAATGAGATCTGGCCCCCTCCTCTGGAGTGCGAACATATATGAAGGCAGAATGTTGTATACATAGTGAATAAATAAAATCTCAAAAAAATAAAAATAAAAAAAAGAGTCCTCAAATCTCCATCAAAATAGAAACATGTACATGTCACCCAACGCCACCACTGTCTGTTCCAACTGCCAACATGTTTTAGGGGCTTACTGATCTATTTTGGGTTTTGGTTTATTTTGTTGATTGGTTAGTTGGTTTTTGTCTTGTTTTTTTTTTTTTTTTAATGTATGTGTTCACTTTTGTGCGTGTCTGCAGAGGCCAGAGGTTGGCAGTAGATGCTTCCTCAATCACTTCACCCCTACCCCTGCCTTTTTCCCTCTTTCCACGTGTTTGTGTGGTGGTGTGCATGCATGTTCATGTGTGAAGGAGAGTGTACATATGTGTGCATGTAGAGGACCAAGGTCAATGTTGGGCATTTTTCTCTATCATTCTCCTGTCCTCTTCTTTTGAAGCTGGGTCTCCAAATTTAATGGTTAGGATGGCAGGTGGGCCACAAGCCAGGCAATATTTATGTGGGTTCTGGGGATCTGAACTCTGGTCCTTTTGGTTGTGTGGTGAGCACTTTAGCTGCTGAACCGTTGCCACAGTCCACACTCATTTTATGAGACAAGATCTCTCATTGAACCTGGGACTCTCTGTGTTGGCTCTCCTGGCCAGCCAGCCCCAGGAGTATCTACCTCTCTCCCCCAGTGCTGGGCTTACAGGTGTGCACTGCCACGCTCGGCTTCTATGTGGATGCTGGGATTGAACTCGGGTCTTCCTGTTTGTACAGCAGGCACTTTACCCAGACCTCACTGTTTTCTTCTTTGAGACAGGATTTCACTCTGTAGCCCAAGTTGCTCTGGAATTTATGATCCTCCTGCCTTAGCCTTCCAAGTGCTGAGTGTACAAGTGTGTACTTTCCTTTGGGCTCTTAAGGCAGCTTTAGACCTCATTCTTTTGAAGAGTGAAAGTGTCTCAGGTAGCCCATGTTGACCTCAAACTTACTGTGTAGCTGAGGATGACCTTGAACTTTGGATCCTCCAGCTCCCGGGTAGGCACCACACACCAAGTTTATGTGGTGTTAGGGGGCAAACCAAGGGCTTTATTCATGCTAGACAAGCAGTCTGTCAACAGAGCAATATCCCTGCTCATGAGCCTTTTTTGTTTGCTTGTTTATCTGTTTATTTTTTAATTTTAAAACAGGACCTCACCCTGTAGCCCTGGCTGTCCTGGAATTTGCTCTGTAGATCAGGCTGACATTGAACTCGGAGATCCACCTGCTTCTGCCTCTTGCATACTGGGTCAAAGGTGTGCTCCAGCCTGCCCAGTTCTGGGCCTCATTCTTGTGTTGATCTCTTCACTGGCTGCAAGGCAAAGACTAATAAACTCCCAGGCCAAGGGAAGGGCAGGGAAGAAGCATTTGATTTCAGTAGAGATTCACAATGAGCACACCCTTCATCCTTTTCTGTGTGAGACTGAACAATGACGGTCGTGAACCTTCTTCCTAAGGGTGTCCCCTAGAGTGGCATGCGTTCTCCTGCATCAGGAAGAATAGGTGAGAATGTGAAAGGCCTCATGCAGATCCCTGCAGAGGTACTTTGTGTGTGAATTTAGCCAAACCATGAGCCTCTCTCATCTCCATGTGTGAAATGAGACAAGACCTACCTCAGGTTGGTCCTGAGACAAATGAGAACACAGGTAACCTTAGCACCAAGGCCGCAGCAAGCATCCCGTTTCCCTCCCTTGCTCTTCACCCTTTCCTCCACATCCTCTGAGGCATGGTGGTCAAGACTGATGGCATCACCTCTCAAGAGCCTGACTAATTCAAGCCAGAGAGGATGCACTGCTCACTTCCTCGTCGGTCACATGCCCGGGCCTCTCACTAGCCTCCTGGTGGCCCAGTTTCCCAGGGACAGTCACTCCTGACTCACTTGTCTTGTGGTCACCTCTGAAACCAGGTTCTTTTTCTGTTCTCCCTCTACCCCATTGCCCCTCTCCAGCTTGTCTATTGCGTGGGAATAGATCTTTGTCACATGTTGTGTTCAGGTGACCTCTGCTGAGGAGCCCAAAGCTTTATGAGGCTGGCAGCTTTTTGAGGGCAGGGACCACCATATTTACTTCGGCAGTTACTTTCCCCACCTTCTAAAACATTGCAGGATACAGTACGTGTTTACATGTTTAGGACATGTTTGCTGAATGAATGAGGGATTTCTGAGATTTCCTCTCGCCTGCCAGGCAGCATCCTTGGAAAAGGAAATGAACGAAGCCTTGGGACCTCGGTCTAAGTGAGGGAGGGTGGTGGAAAAGACGATGGCTTGGAGACAAAGCACCAGGATCAGTACTGCTGACCGGAGCTCAGTGATGTTGAGTGGGTTCCCTCCACCTGAGCCTCAGATCTCCCCAGGAGAGTGGGACTCCAGTGCCTGCCAGGGTTACTATGACAAAGCTAAATATGTATGTCAAAGGGCCCAGCCTGGACTGGAAGTGGCCGTTTGGTATCACTCTCACTAGAGCTTTGCCTCCTGTGCCTTGGTCCAGGTCACACCGCCCTGTTACAGCTTAATTAGATACTTCCCTGTCCCTGGTGCTGCCCCAACAAGCCGTAAGTGCAGCTTGCCACCCAACATGCAGCAAGCATGTATTAAAACACACCTCTAATTCAGGTGCCTGCAGGGACCCAGCTTCTTCCCACAACAGACTAAGGTGGAATTTTAATTGGTGGCTTCCTTTCAATTTTTTTCATTTGAATTTTAAAAATATCTTTATCCATTTTGAAATAATTTTGTACTTACCCCCAAATTGCAAAAATAGCACAGAGGTCTCATGTGCCCCTTACTTAAGTGTCCCCAAAGGTCAACTTCTTACATCATGTCTTAGTTGGATCTATAATGTCCCCAGAGGCCCTTTGCTTATAGGCATGGTTCACAGGACAGCAGGGTTAGAGGAGATTGGATATGAGGGCTCCAGTGTCATCTGTGGACTCACCCACTAGTGGGTTCATAGCTCAAGGGACTGTTGGAATGAAATGAAAATTTTAAGAGCTGGGAATGAGGAAGTAAGTCACTGAGGTGTGTCCTGGAAGGGAATCTTGTCCCTGGTCCCTTGTATTCATTCTATATCTGTCTATCTATCTGTCTGTCTGTCTATCTATCTATCTATCTATCTATCTATCTATCTATCATCTATCTACTATCTATCTACCTACCTACCTACCTATCTGTGGTGTGATATTTTGTTAGTTTCTGACAAATAATGCTTGCCTGGAGATCAGAGGGTGGAGCTAGCCACTAGTTAACCATAGAGGCCAGGCAGAGGTGGAGTAAACCTTTAATCCCAGCACTTGGGAGGAGGAAGTGGGAAGATCAGGAGTTCAAGGCCATCCTGGGATACACGATTAATAAAAGCTCAGGATCAGAAATTGGGCTTCAACCTGAAGATCCGAAAAGCAAAATAGCCAGCCACTGGCTCTTACCTCGACCTCAGTCTGAAATGGCGATCCTACCTCCTGGAATCTCAGAAGGAGACTGCATCTGAGAGCTGTCTCGCCCTGTCTTATATTCCTCTCTAGGGCTGGGATCACGGCATGCATCACTGTCATTAAAGGAATACAACACCTGATTTCTATGGCAACTAGTGTGGCTACTGGGATTAAAGGTGTGTGTTATCATAATCTGGTCTGTAAGGCTGACCGATGGGACTGTTTTACTCTCAGATCTTCAGGCAGTCTTTATTTATTAAAATACATTGGAAATGCCACCTCAATCTTGCACTATATGGGATTGAACAAGTCCAAAAGAGAAACAGAACCAGGTGGTTGTGGTGCACATCTTTAATCGCAGCACTAGGGAGGTAGAGACAGGATCCCTGCCCCATTTGGCCTGAAGATTCATAGAGGTAAGAAGTCTCTCTATTGGCTGCTGCTCTGCTTTGCTGATCTTCCAGCTTTCACCCTAATATCTGACTCCAGGTTTTTACTTAATAAGAGTAATTAGGATTGTGCTTCTATCTGTCTGTCTGTCCATCCATCCTCCCATCCATCCATCCGTCCGTCCGTCCGTCCGTCCGTGCATCATCTATCCAATAGCCACGAGGCAAGCATCTTCCTCTGCCACCTGCTTCCCACACTGAGATGTTTTAGTGCACCCTACGGCCTAAGCGGCAGAACCAACCAGACAGACCGAGACCTGGAACCCTGAGCCAACACAAACCTTCCTTACCTGAAGCTGATTTTCTCTGGTATGTTATCACAGCCATAAAAAGCTGTCAGATGTAACCGCAATGCCACTGTCCAAACGGGACCAATAGCATTATTATATGGTGTTACCAGCGACACTGCGGAGCTTACCCAAATGACTCTTTTTCCCAGCAAAAGAAATCTAAAATGGTCTCACACTAAGTTCATCATTATGCCCCACACTTCTCCTCTCATTTGGGACAGTCCCCATGTTGCTTGTCCCTCATAACCTCCCACTTGGGACACATGCTGGGCAGCTGTCGTTTCTGCAGTGGCTTCCTCAGGATCAGTTTGAGATGTCCAGGTGGACAAGATGCCCACTGAGGTGATGCCGCACAGATCACATGAGGACTTGTCTCCCTCCTGATGGCTTTAACGGTCTTTGCTCGGCATGCTGTCTGCCAAGCTCCTCCCCGATGATGCTCCTTTCCCCCACTTTCTAACTAGTGTTTAATGGGGAGGTGCTTTGAAGCTACACCGGTATCCGGTTCCTCTCCTGCTTCCTCCTTACTCATTTCTTCCTCAGAAGCCACATGGATTCTTGACTTCTTGCTTCCCCAAGGCTGACCTCTGACTATCATTTTGAGTCTCACGTTGGTTTTCCTCTGGCCAGTGGGGGCCCCTTGACACCTCATGTCTCTTTAACATCCCCCCCAATTTGTTAGAGGAAGTTCCTACTATTACATTCACTTTTCCCGGGAGACACAAATATCTGTTCACCCCAAACAGGGCACTGGCAACAGACCAAATAAGCAGCCCCTTCTGAGCTTATCTTGGAGAACCAATAGGATTCATTGGGGTTACTTATAGGAGTGTGGAAACATGGGTGAGAGGTTACCTAAACTTACCTGTGGCTTCCCGTCTCCCAGTATCCCTAATCACTGAGTTGGACCCAGGTGACTGGTGCATGCCCCTTGAACCCGGAGCAGCTCAGAGCCTGGTGATCCTACCACCTGGTGATCCCACCCTTCCCTCCATGATAGAGCATGAATGAGATCATCTATTGAGGATCTCCTCGGGTCATCACAGCTGATGTGATTTCAGGAGAGTGAAGGCCACGTTCACCCGGAGGGCAGCGTTCCACAGTGCTGACCTAGGAAGGTGCTCCTACCTTATCTTGCTTTCTCCACCCAGCTAAAAAAATGAGCCGTTTCTGATTTCTTTGTAAAAAGGGTTTCGGTTGTTGGCCATGTCCTTGTGCCTTGTAGGCCCTGCCTATGAAAAGAGCTCGGGAAGGTTTATGCATACATGTGGCGTGTGTACATACATGTGTCTTTTCCCATGTGGCTGTACATACTGAGGTGGTAAGTTCACACTCTTGCCTCTATTTCCAGTCAGCCATCTGCACTGGCACTTCTCACCCTAATGCTGAGGCCCCAGGGCCATGCCAGTCTCCCTCCAGTTCCCTTCATCCCCTTCACCCCCTTCTTGCCCAGACTCTGATACCCCATCCTCCTCCACCACTTCTTGCTTGTGTTAAGCACCCTCTAGCGAACTGCAGACTCCTGCTTTTGAAACACTAGGTCACATATTCCAAACCACGAGGCTGCTTTTGCCAGTGGGGCCCTGATGGTGACATGGCCAGAAACGGGATGGGTTGTAGCTCCCAGAGGGCACTGCTACCGTGTCTGCTTTCAGCTGAAAGGAACCTGTCGGATCTGTGTACCTCCTTGCTTTCATCCAGGGAAACTGATGCCCAGCAATGGACAGGGATTTCTAAGACCATTTCCCCGCCTGCAGCTTGTTATTCTGGTCATCTCAGGAGTCCCACACAGCTTCCACCCTGCCCATGTGGCCTTTGAAAGATAGGCTGTCCATGCCCTGCATCTCTTCAGCCCCTGTGGTCATTGATGGGCTCCTGAGCCCTGTCTGTCTATAAATGGCTCTTTGTCTTGACATTGTGTTGTCAAGCATTTGAAAATTGGGGCATTCCATGTGCAATTCCAAATCCAGGGTCTTTTCTCGAAAACTCAGAGCATCCAGCCACCCTAAGCCCACACCTCGGCCTGGTGCCCCATGGGTGCTTCCTGAATCACGCATCTATAAACCTGTGAGCTGGGAATGAAGCTGTGGGGGTTGCTTGTGCACTGTGCAACACTGAGGGAGATGGCCAGCCGAGCGAATGACCAAAAGTAAAGGGTCCCTACTAAATGCATGTCACTCTCACGCCACCGCCAGGTGGAAAGATTGTATTGGATCCATTGTGAGTCTAAACCACCTACACCCAACTGGGTTTCTTCCTCCCCAGTCTGCTGCCTCCCTGTGAGTCCTCTGATAGGCTCATACAATAGCACCCCACTTGGGGGCCTTGGCCATGGCCGGACACTGGGAGCTCTTCATGGGACCTCTCTGCCTCTTCTCACTTTCACCTCATTGCTCCCCGAAATAAAACACAGCATCCCAGTAACCCTGCTTGTGGCGGGTTCTTGGTCTTTGCTGTCTTCATGCCCTGTGGCAGTCTTCTCTGTGCAGACATCACCTCCTCTAAAAAGCCTTCTGGGACTTAAAGGCCCTTCTTCAGGCCCTCGTGTCTCTAGCTGACCCACCCGAACTCTGTGACAATGGTTCTCAGCCTTCCTAATGCTGCGACCCTTTAATACAGTTCCTCATGTTGTGGTGACCCTCAAACATAAAATTATTTCATTGCTACTTCATAACTGTAATTTTGCTACTGTTATGAATTGTAATATGAATATCTGATATTCAGGGTTTCTGGTATGTGATCCCCACGTTCAGAACCACTGCTTCATGAATTTTCCTGTCCACTTTTCTTTGTCTCTAATGGCAAGCTGTAGGTTTACAGGTCAGACTGACTAAGATGGCTCAGAGTGTCGTAGGGACCTGATGGGTCAAGTGAGGGTTAACTAGAGGACCAGCAAACTCTGAGCACTTGCAGAATGCTAGGCATAGTTCTAAGAGCTTTATATGCACCACCGACCTTCCGGCATTTACAAAGTTGGGAAGGTCCAGAGAAGTTAAGTGCTATGCCCAAGATAATGTAAGTGCTGGGTAATGACTGAGCACACTGTTAGGTAAAAGGTGTGTCACTGAGAAGTGAGGTGCTTGACTTGTGCAGACCTCCCAGCTGCTTGGTCACGCCCCAACCCTAACAGCTGAGCACAGAGCCGACAGGAGAGAAAGTGGCGGCCTGTAGCCTGGCATCCCACTGGAGTTTCTAATCCCTTGAGGCCGTAGCAGAAGGGTGGCTCGTATGTAATTAGCAGAGTTGGCACCAGCCTTGACTCAAAGGTTTAGCAGGCGCATTTGGTTTCCCAATCACCAAAGAGAAATGGGGGTTGTTGTGTACTGGCCTTTCCCTGGGGTCAAGCTCCGCCTTCTAGCTTGAGGGTGTGTGGAGCGAGGACCCTGCTGACAAAGCTCGGTTAAGAGACTGGATTCAGCCTGCTGCCCCTGGCCAAGGGAAAGAAAGGAAGGTGCCATGGAGACGTGGCACCAAATCCATCACAGAGGGGTTTTCTTACTTCTCATTCGCCTTGCAGGGTTTAGCAGGAGTCGCCCTGTGTTGGTAGTTGAGGAAACTGAGGCCTCGGGAAGTAGTTACACTGTAAGAAAGCATTTACCAGGATTGGAACCAGAGAAATCCAATTCCAGAGTCCTAGCCAAGGACAAGATGATGAGGATTAAATTTGTGTCCATTTGATTCCAAGGCTCCACATTTCCCCATCACATCCCAGGACTTCCCTGGCCCTGGTGGTGTGCTCAGGAAAGAAAGACTAGGGAGGAAACCAGAGGCAGAGCCAGCCTTACCTCCAGCTGACCCTAACTCATCCTGTAGGTAGGAGCGGCAGGGAAGATGGAGACAGTGGACCAGGATAGAGAGGTGGAGGAGGAAGAAGAGGAAGAAATGAAAAGGTGGCACAGAAAAAGAAAGGAGTGTGTAGTGTAACTCCAAAGACACAGAGCCCCCGCTGGTCCCCTAGACCCAGATGTTTGGTTCAGTTACTAGACCAGCGCTTACTACCTGTCAGTCCATGCTAGGGGACAAGACCTAACAAGGCCCTTTGTCCTCAGGAATACGTTACATTCCAACAGAGGTGAGACCCACCAAGAAATGTGCATGAGTATAAATGTATGAGTAGCTAAAATTGTTTGTCATGAGCTTGGGTCGTGTCGTAGAGACACGATGACGGGATACAGTGGAGGGATGCAGAGGTATGCTGGCTTGCTGGCTGGATTTATGTCAGCTTGACACAAGCTCGTCATCTGAGAGTAGAGAAAATGAGAAAATGCTCCATCAGATCCGGCTACAGGCAAGCCTGCAGGGCATTTTCTTAACTGATTGATGCAGGAGGGCCCAGCCCATTGTGAGTGGTACCATTCCTGGGTTCTATAAGAAAGCAGGCTGAGCAAGCCATGAAAGCAGCCCCCTCCTCTCCTCCATGGCCTCTGCATCAGCTCCTGCCTCCAGGTTCCTCTCCTGTTTGAGTTCCTGTCCTGACTTCCTTTGACAGTGAACAGGAATGTGGAACAGTAAGCAGGAAAACAACCCTTTCCTCCCCAGCTTGCTTTTTGGTCTCATGGTGTTTCATCACAGCAGTGGAGACCCTAAGGTATCAGGACTCTCGCAGGAGGCCTCGCAGGGGAGGGTGGAAGGGGTTCTTTGGTAAGAGCTGTGGTTACTGACCCAGGTCGCATGCCACCGGCACTCCCAGCCTCAGCCTCTAGGCCTGTATGCTACACCTGTCTAATTCCTGTTTCTTCTCCACAGGTTTGACATCTACAGGAAGGTGCCCAAGGACCTCACACAGCCGACGTACACTGGTGCCATCAGTGAGTAACTGCCCTTCCCACCGGTACCCAGCCCTCTGCCTGCTCCCCAGATAGCCTTGCTTCTGCCTTGTGCAGAACTCTGGAGCAAGGAGGACAGAAGGAAGTCCGGTGGGATAGAAGGCGTGCCCAGCATCCCACGGGCCCTTTACCTCTTTCTACATCGCGTCTCTATCCTTGTTGTACAACCCCACAAGGTCGAACCATCAGCTGTGTCTAGAAGAATGCAAAAAAAAAATATCAGTGCAGGTTAAGGATCCCCAATCTCAAAATCCAAAAGGGTTTTTTTTTTTTCCCTTACAGTGCTAGAGATTGACACTCTACCACTAAGCTATGTCTCCTACATCTAAAACTGTGCGTCTAAATCCAGAACTGTGAGCCCTGATGTGCACTCTAAGTGGAAAGTCCACCCCTGGCCCTGTGTGATGGCCCTGTGATGTGTTGTATGGAGAAGTACACGTGAAACGTGAATTGCCTGTACAGACCTGGGCCCCGTTCTCAAAATGCCAGTGAGATGGCTCAGCAGGTGAAAGCATTGCTATACAAGCCTGCTGGCCTGAGTTAGAACCTCAGAAGCCACGGGGAAGGAGAGAGAGGCACACCATCGTCATCGTCATCATCATCATCATCAAGCAATAATAGTAATAAATAAAAATTTAAATAAAATAAGAACTGAAAGAAAAATCCAAGCAAGCAGATTGGAGGTGGGAGGGAGGCCTGCTTTTTACCTTTCTGCCTTTGAAATTATTTGAATTGTTAATTATTTTAGTCACTAAAAGAATTCACAAACTCGCTGACTTGGTTCAAATCAAAGGAGCCAGGGCATCTCAGAAAAGTGGCCATTTGCAACACCAGGCAGGGAAGGTCGAATCTGAGCCTGGCGGTTGTGCCAGCAGGATGAGAGAACCCAAGGACCAAACCTGGAGCCTAAGGCCAGTAGTGACGCTGTTGGTATGGGACCCGGAGAATTAGAGGAAAGGCCTTTGAGCCTGTGATAAAGGAACTGGGGCGGGGAGACAAACCCCCTAAAGAGTTCTGGTAACCCCCATGAATACTCCTTCCCTCTGCTCCTCGAGTGTGGGTTAGACTTAGCAGCTTACTACCAAGGAAAAGAGAATAGAAATGTAAGGTGGTAGCTTTCCTGCAGGGACACCTGGAGATGGCAGCTCGGCCTTTGAGGGAGTTTGGAATAGCCGCAATTGGTCACGTGGATGTGCGGATGCCTGAGGGACGCACAGAGACACCTTGCCACTGGGGGTCTTCCCGGTTAAGCTACAGCCTGCTGACTGACACACAACATCGCTGGGAGTCTTCTGTCAGATACCGCGGCAGCGCACTGCCGGAGGGGCAAGGCCTTGAAAAGCTGAGGGAAGAGAAGGACTCAAGAGGAGTCAGTGCTTGGTTGGATCCAGGCTCTGTTCCTGGAACAGAAGCGGCCTTCCTGGGAAGGCCGAAACCTGAGTAAAGGCTGTGGTGGGGATATAGGAGCATAGCAACAGCGAATTCCTCCCCGCTGACACAGTGTGACAAAGTGCTATGGTTTTGTCAGGTGTGAACAGGGGCAGCCGGGAGAGGCTGTGTGGGCACGGTCCTGGCTTTGCATCCATTACGGTTCCACAGAAAACGTCCCTATAAAATAGTACTCAGAGCAAACCAAAGTCACCGTTGAGTAAGTGGGAAGGAGCGCTTTGGCTTCACGTCTCCGTCTCCGATGCTCAGAAAGGGGAAGTGACTCATTCAGAATATCACTGTTTACAGAAGGGACAGTCAGGATTAGGTCTTGGGTGGCCCCCCACATGCCTGGTATGGGACAGAGAATCTCACAGCTGCCTCAGCCTTGTGGTGTGAACAGAGGTCAGGTGATCAGCCTGGAGTCCCCTCTTGGGTAGACTGGTGGCCTTGGAGAGCCCCCACCACTCCAGCTAGCTCCAGCCCTCCCTCTGCCCGGGTTCTGTAAAGCAGCATGTACCTTCTCCAGGTGTGGAGAGGAGAGCACTGCCTGGGGTTCACAGGCCTTCCTGTCAGCAAGAGCCGACTTCGTCCTATTTAGCATCCGTGTGTCCCTGGGCAAGTGGGTGGGGCACATGAGCCCTCATTCAGTGCCGGAGTGACTCCTGGCAGCCCACTACTCACCTATGAGTGTGTGACCCAAGAAGCCAAGCAGCTGGGTGCTTCCCTTGGGAGGAAAAAGACTTGCTCAGACTGTGAGAAACGAGGCTCTTGCCCCCTCCCTACCTCCTGCCCACTCCCTGCCACCACGCACAGCCCAGCCTCCCTGCCAATTTCTCCAGCCTTGCCTTATCTAACCTGTTGAGCAATCGGGGTATGTGTACTCTTAAAAGCCCAGGATGTACCTGCACCAATGTCCTGCATACTAGGGACAGCTGTGCAAACTACCCCCCGCCCCCCAATCTCTGTTGCTGAACACTGGACACACCCTTCCCAACTCCATCAACAGCTCTTGCCTTCTATCCAGCCGGCTCCTGTGTCACTGCCTGGCTGACCCGTGGCCCTGAGGGTGGCCAGCCTGATTACAGCCTATTGTCTTTGACTCTTGTGTGGCCATCGCTGTGAGGTAGTTCTCCAGGGTGAAGGAGCCCTGAGTCAAGGGGATGTACATTTTCAACTGTTTAGAAGTTCTGCCTGGAAGCGCTCAGGAACACGGTCTGATGAGCATTTCATCACACAAGGTCTGAGACATGGGAAGCCAGCCCTTAGCTACCATTTAGTGCACAAATATTTATTAAGCTGGACCTCAGGCCAGGCCCTGTGCCAAGTGCTGGGACAGTGCTGATGAATGGGCTTTGGTCTTCGTCCTTGAGGCTCGCACAGCCGAGCCAGGCAGACCAGCTCAGGCATGCGCCATTGCGTTCCGCTGTGGGACGACTGCTATTAATAGCTGAAGGAGACAGTGAAATTCTGGGGCTTGAACGTCAGCCTTTGGATTGTGCCTTCTCCCTTACCCGGCTATGTGACCTTGGACAGGCTCCTTGACTTTCTCGCAGGCTGTAAGGTCTCAGGTCTTGCCCCCTTCAACTTGGCAGCACCCAGCTTCCTACTAGCAAGCATCTCCTGGGGTTACATTCCAACTGCCCAGGGCCTGAGTCAGTTTTAGAAGTCTGGAGTCAGAGAGCCTCCAAGCCTTGCCCAAACATGGGTTGAAAGCCTTCATCCAGCCTTCGAGGTCTGAAGGCCTTGGTTGGAATACTTGCTACCTGCTTTCACGGTTTCTCACCGTGCCTTCTCCGAGCCCACACTGGAGTTACACACCGAGGCTACAGCGGTACCAAGACCTCACCTCCAGTTCCCCAGTCTGAGACAGGAGTCAAGTGCACTTACACATTGAAGGACGTGTGGGACAGGCCCCTGGACTCAGCTGAGCTCTCCCGTCTACCTGCTAGGTTAACCAGGTCTCAGGGAAAGGCCTTCTCAGTCTCCTTCCCCCCACCACAATGTGTGTAATTAGGACTTTGGGGTGTATCTGCAAGCATAAAGTGGGGAGGGCAGCTAGAAAAGTCAGCAGTGACCCTCAGAAAACCTCCTTGTGTAGTCTACTGCAGCATCCCAGTGGCTGGTGTGGACAAAATGTGGGTCCTGGGTGGCACTGGACAGAAAGGCGCAAGGGTCCAGCTGCAGGATGCTCTGCCTGCTGGCAGATTCTCCCCCAAGGGGCAGTAACCTCCATTGTAGGGCTGAGAGACCAGGAGCCAGGACAGACGTGGGTCAGTAGCTAAGCCACCCCGGGGGTGTTTATTCTGCAGCCTTAAAGGATATTTGAGCTTAATCTCCATGCCATGAACAGGACAAAACAAGGCCGCAGTCTGAGCTGAGGCTGTTCACAGCTAGCTGAGGGTGTGAGGCATGACTGAGAAGGGTGTCTGTCTACTGCCACTGATGTAGAGTGAATGGGGGTTCAGAGTACGTATATCTGCATATATGTATGTGGATATATGTTTTTTGTTGTGTTCATGACTGTCCTGGCTAGCCTGGAACTTGCTGTGAAGTCTGGGCTAGCCTTGAAATCTGGGCAGTCCTTCTCACCTGAGTTCTTCTCCTAAATGCTGGGATTGTAGGTGTGGACCACCAGGCCTGCCAACATTGTATGTGTGCGTGTGTGGTGTGTGTGTGTGTGTGTGTGTGTACTACACAGAATGTATAATATATCCTGTAATTTATTAATATGTGATGTTTATGTATATTAATATTTTCATGTGCCTATTGCCCATTTGGAACTTTTTCTTGTTGATCATATTCTCTATTTTACCCCAAAGTAAAGCCTTTAAATGCCATGTCTATACGGCTCCTTCAAAGTGGGGCAGAAGTTATGAGAATTCTGGTCCCCATCTCTATGTGGCTAGACTCATCAGGCAGTTTGGGGATGTTCCTTCTTTCCCTTACAGCCCAGATTCTCGGGAGTCTTTCTAGGTGCCTTGACCATAGAGGATAGGGGGTCCCAGTCCCTTCTCGCTCAGCCTGCAGTTTTTCAGCTGAGCCCCCATTAGGCTGGCGCCGTGGTGTCATGGTGGAGTGGTTTGTTAATGCATCACTGTGGGCGTGTAGCAAGCTCAATAATGCTTGTCTTTCCTGGACAGATAGGAAGTTAGGTAGGTGGCAGACAGACGGACGTGGATGGAGATGCTTCTCTACTGTTACATACAGGCTGTGTCCCAGGAATCCTGCTGTCAGTTCAAAATAGTGCAAATAAAGATGGTCAGTTCCAGTCCGTGGCACAACCCCCCTCAGCCTGGCAGCTTCTTTGGTGTGTGAGCTGTCCCTCTGGTGACTGCAGGTTGACCAGGAGCCATGACCCACTGCCACCGGCCAGCATCAGGACAGGGCTCTGCATATCACTAACCTGGAAAGAGCCCAGACCACTATACGGCTTCTGCTGAGTGATTCTGCTCTCGCCCTATTGTAACGTTGAAAAAAATCCCAAGGTGGGCACTGGCTGTAGACGGAGGGACAGACCAGTGGCAGAATATGCCTCAGTTTTTGATTCACCGATATGGGAGAGAACTCTGGTCTCAGACCTAGTATAGGACAGGGGCCGTGTGTTTCACAGAAGCCAGAAATCTAGATGGTCACATGGTATCTCCCCATGTTCATTATGGACTTGCAATTGTAATGTGTGTGGCACTCAAGAGAGACAGAGCCCTTTGTGGTCCTCCATCCAGCACACGGGCCTCTTCCAGGCTAACCTCCGCATCAAAGAGGTCTTGAGGACTCGAGCAGGGCCTGTTGCCTGTGTGAAGAGGCTCACCCTTACCACAGAATCAGGCCAATGGTGCCTTTCTGGGGACTCACACTGAGGCCATGAGTAAAAGGAGGGACACAGTGAGACCATGAGTTAAAGGGGAGACACAGTGAAAGGGGGTACACAGTGGCGTCATGAGTAAAAGGGAAGATACACTGAGGTCATTTCAGGGGCATTGACGGTCTCTGGGAAGGTACCCTACCCTGTGTGTATGCTGGGGCCTCTAACTTTCCTCCAGGATAGCAGAGGGGCAGGGAGGGCTGGCCGCCTATCCGGAGCAACCTGCACCCCTAACGCTGACTCCATGTTTCTTTCCCCACAGTCTCCATTTGCTGCTGCCTCTTCATCCTCTTCCTCTTCCTGTCAGAGCTCACGGGATTCATCACAACAGAAGTGTAAGTCATTTTTCCTCGGGTCAACTGGCTTTCTGGGGTCCAGATGAGGAGAGGGAGGAGTTTGGGAAGGGATGGAAGCCTTGCAGCTGACTTACTTCTGTATCCAAGTATGTGACATCATAAAAGGGTTTTGAAATTGGAACAAAATTTCACTTTGTCAGAGCCCTTTGCCTTCCTTTGGTCCCGGGGTCTGCAGGTCCACAGACCGAGTAGTCACACACATTAATCATTGCTGGCCCCGACTTATACAGTGGGTTTTCCATGAGTCCTTTGATGTAGCTGGAAGTGCTCAGAAACCCAGGGAGCTTCCTCACAGAGGGTAGGGTGCCCCGCTCAGTTCTCAGGCCCACACTCAGGGCAGTAAGCATGGGTTTCCTGGCAACTGACAGCACAGTTGTCCATCCCTGATTCCAGAGTTAGCTGTCCCCCATAGCCTGGCAGCTCCTGCCTTGGGCCCTGGCCTCGGGCTTCCCAGCCTCTTCGTTGCTGTGTTTACAGTTTGCGGAATTGTCTTGGGGCTGGGCCCTGGCACCCCCTTCTCCTGCTCAGCCTTGGAATTTTCTTTTTCTACTCAGGGAATGTCTTGGTTTTCTTTGCTTCCTTCTCAGCCACAGACAATAGGAAGACAGTTGTCATGGCTTCAGCTGGCTGTTGCTGTCTTTGTGCCCAAACGGCCTTTGTCTTAGGAGAGAAACTGAGGCTGTGAGTTATAGAGGTGCTTGCCCACAGTGGCAGAGTTAGGTGACTCCTGAGCCCTGAGAAGCTGGCCTCAGCTTTTTCTTAGCTCACGTCTGGAGGTAGCTTTCCACCTGCCCCCTGTGTAGGAACATCTGCCTCCTTGTCACTCTGAACCTGTTTTTAACCTGGGGGAAAGAGCACCAGATAAGACATTAGGAGGCACAGAAGCAGGGTACAGCTTTGCTGTGTGACACTGGGAAGGTTACTGAACCTCTCGGAGTCAAATGTGTGAGAACAGATCAAATTCAAACTTTGATGGAAGCAGGGAGGACAGGAGACCCTGAAACACAGTGGCAGTGTGCCAGGTAGGCATCTGTTAGCCTGTGAGGCTGTGCTCTCCTCTGGGATGGAGGCCACTCTACAGGCAGCTGTGTTCTGAGTAGGTGACAGCGGCGAGGCGCAGTGTGCAGGCAGGTGGCGTCAGTGTTATAGACAGCAGTGCACCTGTGACAGCGGTGAGGCGCAGTGCGCAGGCAGGTGGCGTCAGTGTTATAGACAGCAGTGCACCTGTGACAGCGGTGAGGTGCAGTGCGCAGGCAGGTGGCGTCAGTGTTATAGACAGCAGTGCACCTGTGACAGCGGTGAGGCGCAGTGCGCAGGCAGGTGGCGTCAGTGTTATAGACAGCAGTGCACCTGTGACAGCGGTGAGGCGCAGTGCGCAGGCAGGTGGCGTCAGTGTTATAGACAGCAGTGCACCTGTGACAGCGGTGAGGCGCAGTGCGCAGGCAGGTGGCGTCAGTGTTATAGACAGCAGTGCACCTGTGACAGCGGTGAGGTGCAGTGCGCACGCAGGTGGCTCCAGTGTTGGGGACAGCAGTGCTCAGCCCTGAGGCGGGAATGGCTTAGGGTCTGTGAAGAATGGAGCGGCTGGCTTAACCGTAGCAAAGTGAGCAAGCAGTCGCATAGAGGCCAGGGTGGGTCGAATCACAGCGCTGGAATTGCTTAGTTAGCAGTGTTTCTGCTTTGACTGTGGGCTCCTAAAGCACTCTCACGCTACTGAGTATCCACGCCTGCTGGCTGGGGACACAGCGGAACAACTAAACTGTAGTTGTTCCTTCAGTGTCCTGGACGTGTGCCTCTGGGACCCTCACCACAAAAGCCCAACCTTTCAGTCCATTCTGCACAATATCATAAAATCTGCATGTCATTTGCATAAACTACCTGTAATCCTCATGTGTATATATATTTTCTTTTTTTAAGATTTATTTTTATTTTGTGTGTATGAGTGTTTGTCTGCATGTGTGTCTGTGCACTATGTGCATGCATGGTGCCCTCAGGGGTTAGAAAAAGGCATCAGATCTCATGGAAGTGGGGGACAGAGGGCTGTGGGCCACCATGGGATGCTGGGAACTGAACCTGGGTCCTCTGCTAGACCAGCCAGTGCTCTTAACGGATGGAGCCATCTCTCCAGCCCCTTGCTTTTGTTTTTGATTTGTTTTGTTTTGTTTCCTGAGATGAGGGTCTTACAAGGTCTTACTGTGTAGCCCAGGGAGTCCTCCTGAGTTCTGGGATCACAATTAAGCTCCTGCTGACCTTAAACTGTCTTCAAGTTACTTGAATATATCATACAATATAAATGCTGCAAACCATTGCTTAACGTAAGTGAGTTGTGGGAAGGGCTCTGAGGAAACAGTGGTGCAGGGTGGAGCTAGTTAGTGAGGGGCGTGGTGGGGGTAGGGCAGATAGATGGACTGGACCTGGGGTTTTCTGAAGATGGAACAAGATGGCCTGGCTAAAGGGTACTTAACCCTAGGCCTATGGACTTTCCCATCAGTCAGACCCTGCCTCTTGGTGTGTTTGTGTACCCTGTAACACCTGAGGAAGCTTCAGTTAGCTCAGCCCAGCAAAGGAGTGCCTGTGGTGCTGAAATATGGCCACATACAAGTGGCTTTTAATGTCAGAGCTTAAGTCTGTGAAAGCTGAGTAGCAGGCTGGGCCGCTCAAGCAAGCCCTGACAGTGGACTTTGTCTACTGTTTACCTAGGGCAGGGCTGTCAGTGGCAGAGCACAGTGTGTTCCCCATGCCATCCCCTCCCTTGCTCAGGGACTTCCTCTTCTTGCCTCCTGGATGCTGTGGTCCCCAGGAGGAAGGAAGAGGTCTGCAAAGGCTTGAACCTGGCTCTCTGACTTTTCCCTGCCACCTCCCTCCCTGACCTTCCTCACTGTGGTACTACCGTGTCAGGGGTCCAGAGGCCTAAGACTTAACACGGCAGCCTAAAAACGATTGCATTGCCCACATCGGGCTCCTTTCTTTACAGAAGCAGTCTGGTCCAGGAAACATAGTTGGGGAAAAACTGAAGGCAAATTTCATTCTCCTTTGGGATGGCCACTGGTCCTGTCTGGTGCCTTTGTGACCACAGTAGGTCAGCAGATCCCTCTGTGGAAATAAGGTCACCGCCGACTGGGTCAGCACTGCAGCCCTGGCCTGTGGTTCTCAGTGGCGTGAGATGCTCCTTCTGCCACTGCTGCGTGAGAGGGAGGCAGGACTGTGTGGATGCTCGGCTTCCGGCTTGGGCTTGGGCCAGGCTGTTGACCAGAATGAAAACAGGTGTCCCATGGGATATTCAGGGGTTCAGTCTATCCTGGGGTGTACCCACCTCTCAGAAAGTGGCTGTGGAATGTTCCAGTCCATGACTGCCAAGTTCCGAAAGACTTTAATAGTTACCCACCTGGTAGGTAAATTTATGGTAATAAAGTAAGTGTAGCTGCTCAGCCCCTCCACTTGTTGTTTTTAACATAATATACCTTGTGGTACTTTCTAGGTATTGTAAGTGGCCAAATGCTAGGCTCATATGCCCAGGTTAGCATCTTACAATGATTGCCTTAAAATTTGTCACAAGACCCCTTGAAGTTTCTGGGG